TTCATAAATGTTGAGCACGCGAGAGTTAAAATTGGACGAATTTATACCACTTTGACTTTGATGTGGAAACCTAAAAATAAAATAAAAGAATAATAAGCAGATTTTAACATGAAAATCTTTGCCAAATTATAATAACTTATATATGTTTCTACAAAAAAATGTGTATAATAAATATATTCGTCCTATATCTAAGTACCCACAGAAATATCGCATCTGAACATATTAATTTCATAATCTATATTCCCTGACACGAGATGGCGTCTTAGGAATAATTTGTTTTATTATTAATACATAATACTTTTTATTAATTAATTATCTTATTAACCGATGAAAAGTTTATCGACCAAATTCTTTGGTTTTTACTGATATTTCTTGAATTATTTGTGCAATATCTAAGTACATACGACGGCATATCTTTATCAAAAGATTTTTTTTAAATCAACACAACACGTGACAACTCTATAAGCGCCTAGCGAGTGACTGTAGTGTGGTGCGGTGGGTGCGGTGTATGTACCGCAGTTGAGTGGAACAGTGTAGCTGAATGCAGTGTCGCCTCTAGTACGTAGTACATAATAGCTCAATGCTAAATACGAAATTAATATTCATGGTATTGGAGTCTTCGTTGTCTGTTATCTCGCTGCGAATGAAGTTAAGAACAAAAAGGATCGCCTTAAAGTCTTTTATTATTTTTAAATTTCTCGTAATGAAATGGACTTATTGTTTAAATATTTAAAGGAAAAATTTCACTCCATAGACATCTTATTTTTTTTTTAATTGGCGAAAGAAGAAATATTATGATCCACCAATAACAAATATGCTGTTGGCAGTGGATCTGATGCTCGTACGGAATTAGTTTTTTGAATGAGGGTAACAAACAAGCACTCAGTCCACCAAACGGTAATACTATGATGACCTACATCTGTCCTCGATCATGAATCAAAATGCAGATACGTTGTGACCACCGAAGAATAAGATGGAATACCTCGTATCCAGTAAAAAGGATCTCCGGTTCTATTTATACGCTGGTATTCTGTGAGAGCGTGGTCCTACCCCGGTCGAGCCGACCCATTAGTGCTACAACCATAATATAACTTCAGTGAGCCACTACCATGTTTAGTATTTGAAAAAAAAAATAGTCATCTTTTTAAAAGTTTATGTTCCAAATAATAAGTTTGTATTAGATTTTTTTATTGGAATAGTAAAGGGAAATATAATTAAAACGGTCTTTCACCGTGTGCTTGCTACATTCACTTAATAGATGCATATAACAACCCGTGTCAGATTACCGTCCTATTTAACTATGACATTAAGGAAATAGAGTTCTTTTTTTATAGAATAACGGTGACAAACGAGCACACAGTCCACATGAGTGTATGTTGTGGCTCATAGACATCTACATTTAACCTCGATTAAGAATCAAAATGCAGATGCATTGTCACCCTTGAGGACTAAGATGGAATGTCTCGAGTCCAGTAAAACGAGTCTCCGGTTCTCTACACTCACCATACGAAACACAGCTGTATTATGCTGCTATTTTACGTTGGTATTCAGTGAGAGCGTGTCCCTTTCTCGGTCGAGCAGACCTATTCATGCTACAACCGTAATATAGCCACAGCGTGGCTCTACCATGTATAGAAAAAAGCCTTTTTCTTATTATCAGTAAAAAAAGTATCTTAATAAAAAATAATTAGCTGCTCAAGCATCTAATTCAATAACCTTTCATATTATCGAAAAATATTTAAAAGTTATCTCTTCTAAAAAACGATAACTCGAACGTCAAAGTTTTTCCCGCCAATTAATTTATAATTTTTCATCGCAGTTAATATATAGAATTTAAAAATCCATTCGATTGTGAATTAATTGAGTATTTCATGTATGCGCATATTTTTACAGCACATATAATTTCAGAAAAGTATCCATTCTCGAGCGTCAGAAATCGTGTCTAAATATGATATTTTGTCCAACCTGGTCTCAACTCAGATTGTGATTCAAACCTAGGACTTGTTACTCCTACCGTAAACTGCTAATACTCTCCAACCCTCCATGTTACCAGAGGCTTTCACGTTTTTTTACATTTATCGCAAAAAAAACTTTTATACCCCTCAGATACGACGAGCAACATTTAAAATTCATTCCTTAAAAATATTCACGGAGAGGTGTAAGACAGGGTGACGTTATATCCCCGAAACTCTTCACCGCTGCATTGGAAGACGTTTTCAAGCTACTGGACTGGAAAGGATACGGTATTGACATCAATGGCGAGTACATCACTCACCTTCGATTTGCCGACGATATAGTCCTTATGGCAGAATCGCTGGAGGACTTAAGCACTATGCTCAATGACCTCAATAGTGCCTCCCAACGGATAGGTCTTAAGATGAACATGGACAAAACAAAGATCATGTTCAATGTCCATGTCACACCTATGCCGGTAGTTGTTGGGAGCACTATGCTCGAAGTTGTTGACGAATACGTTTACCTGGGACAAATAGTCCGACTAGGTAAGTCCAACTTCGACCGAGAGGTCAATCGACGGATTCAACTCGGCTGGGCAGCGTTCGGGAAATTACGGCATATCTTTTCGTCAGGTATACCTCAATCTCTAAAAACTAGATTGTACAACCAGTGCGTGTTGCCAGTGATGACTTACGGATCTGAGACGTGGTCCTTCACTGCTGGCCGTATGAGGACGCTTAAGGTCGCTCAGCGAGCTATGGAGAGAGGGCTATGCTCGGAGTTTCTCTGCGTGATAGACTCAGAAATGAGGATATCCGCAGTAAAACCAGAGTGACCGACATAGCCCAACGGATTAGTAAGCTGAAGTGGCAATGGGCCGGCCATATAGCTCGAAGAACCGATAACCGATGGGGAAGAAAGGTTCTCGAGTGGCAGCCTCGTACCGGTAGGCGTAGTGTAGGGCGACCCCCCACTAGATGGAGTGACGACCTGGTAAGACATGCAGGAAGTCGATGGATGCAGGTGGCTCAGGACCGTGCTTTGTGGCATTACTTGGGGGAGGCCTATGTTCAGCAGTGGACTTGTGAAGGGCTGTAATGATGATAAATGATGAAATATTCACGGTATTAGAGTCTTCGTTGTCTGTTATCTCGCTGCGAATGAAGTTAAGAACAAAAAGGATCGCCTTAAAGTCTTTTATTATTTTTAAATTTCTCGTAATGAAATGGACTTATTGTTTAAATTTTTAAAGGAAAAATTTCACTCCATAGACATCGTTTTTTTTCTAATAGAATTAACAAACATCTTTTAAGACGAGTGCCTATGGACACATACAACTGTAATTTCAAACCAGAGAGGCTATATACGTTGTCACCTTTGAGTACCAAAATGGAATGTTTCACATCACGTAATTATATTAACTCTACACTCTTTACACCAGAACGCATTGCACGTTGTTTGGTGAAAAAGAAATATTACAATCGTTCATGATTCGATCACATTCAAATCACCAAAAACAAATATGCTGTTGGTAGCAGATTTGATCCTTGCACGGAATTAGTTTTTTGAATGAGGGTAACAAACAAGCACTCAGTCCACCAAATGGTAATACTATGACGACCTATATCTATCCTCGATTACGAATCAAAATGTAGATGCGTTTTGACCACCGAATAATAAGATGAAATACCTCGTTTCTAGTAAAGAGGATCTCCGTTTCTATATAATATACTTTACGCTGGTATTCTGTGAGAGCGTGGTCCTACCCCGGTCGAGCCGACCCATTAGTGCAACAAACATAATATAACTTCAGTGAGTCATTATTATGTTTAGTATTTGACAAAAATACTGTCATCTGTTTAAAAGCTTGTGTTTCATATATGTTTGTACTGGATAATGATAATGATAATGATATGAAAATATACTTAAAACGGTCTTTCACCATATCCTTGACACATTTACTTAATATATGCATATAATAACCCGTGTCAGACTATCGTTCTATTGAACTATGACAATGAGAGATTAGAGAGTGCACATGAGCTTGCGCATACACTCGTGCACCATAATCTTGTTTTACACAGATATTTGTTTAGACTGGTCGCCGTAATCGAAATTGGGTCTGTGGGACATTATTATTATTATTTAGTACGTTGAGTATAACTCTAACATTTTATAAAATTAAAACGTTACAAAATAATCTCTATAACATTTTAACATCTAAACTCTATGTTCTTTGTAGACCCGCTTAAATTAAGCCATTCGAAGGACTGTTTGTATTGCTTAATTGGAATTCATCGTCGCTTTGCGTTCAGTTGCCCTTCTTTAGCGTTAATAGGGGCGTTGAACTTATTTCTGAAAATTTAACGCCTTTTCCTCGTGAAGCTTTAATGGTAATGTCCCTTTCTAAACCAAAATTCTACATTACGTAAGATTAAGAAACTTGCAATTTGAGAACCCTATAAAGTTTTATTAAGTTTAAGTTACTCTAAGCGCCCAATCAGACTGCACTAGCGGGTGCGGGGGCGGGCGCGGGCGCTCGGGTCTTGGCGTCTGCATATTCAGAGTGCCGAACGAGCTACGAGTGTGATTGCACATGTGTTTGGTCGTTCTCAAACTTTGCTGCGTATTTAGAAAACATGGATGAAGATTTGCTTTTATTAATGGAGAATTCATACTTGAAATGGAAATCACAATATATGAAGTTTGGCACACACGATTTAAATAAAGGAAGAGAAGAGTTTGGAGAATTTTATGTATTATACTCTGATTTACGGACGTATCCCGATAAATTCTTTGAATACACGAGAATGTCATTACACACTTTTGACTACATATTAAATAAGATCTCACCATGTTTAGTCAAGATTGACACCAATTTTAGAAAAAGTATAAAACCTGAAGAGAAACTGCTTATAACAATAAGGTAAGTGCATGTTTCCATATCGAAACAACATTTGTTTTAATCAATAATATTCATTTATTTATTCTTAATTAAAATCTATAAATCAGTCGAAAATTACGTTTATAGAGTAGTTAATTAATTACTGTCTATCCATATTATTATAAGGGTTGAAATCCATGTTGCTTTGGGTATTAAAGCCATATGAGTCATATCGTCTTTCGTACTCCAATTTTTCTGTCTCTGCCATTAATAATTGCATAATTTTGTTTTTTACTCGCAGTTTTTGTAATGGCGGAAATGCTCTCATTTGTGGAATGAGACTTTTGAAGAAATAATAATCTTCACATTTCTCTTCACCATCATTTGAAGATGTAGTTGCTTGCGAAAGTTTAATTTGAAGTAACACAATTTTTTTATTTTCGAGTTCAATAAATTGCTCTCTGTAATCAGAAGCACACTTGCGCTTTTTGCTTCCTGAACTCGATTGAGATATTGTATCAGTGACATCGGTTATTACACTAGAGTCATCTGTATCGGCATGGTCTTGTGAAATGTTGTGTGTTACTGCATCCAAATTTCCGGAAGATTGTTCAGCAGTTAAATCATCTTTAATAAATAACATTTGTTGAAAATAAGGCCAAGTGGACTGCAGAGTATCACCTGGATCACCTGAGCGTGCTGGTGGAAACTTCTTTAGTTCTTTACGAAAATGGTCCCTTAAATTTTTCCATTTCTTTCGCAGCTGTTTATCTGAAAATAATTTGTGTTTAATACTTTGTTACAGATATTTGTCTACTGGCATGTCTTTTACAGCATTGTCACACAGTTTTAGAATGGGTGTAAGTACCATTTCAACTTTAGTCCATGAAACATGTATGGCAATATGGAATGAGTTAGTAGGTATTCACATGCCTCCTCCTACTGAACTACAATTTAAAATGGTAGCGGAAGATTATTATAGACTTTGGAATTTTCCTAATTGCATAGGCAGTCTAGATGGAAAGCACTGTCGAATTAAAAAACAAAAAAATAGTGGATCTCTTGATTTTAATTATAAAAAAATTTATTCGATAGTACTTCAAGGAGTAGCCGATGCGAAAAGGAAATTTATTGCAATTGAAGTGGGTGGACGAGGAAAACAAAGCGATGGTGGTACTTTTCATGCTTCTGCTTTGCGCCATTTAATAGAGGAAAATAAATTCAACATTCCAAAACCAGAAAAGTTACCACATTCTAATATAATTGCCCCTTACGTGCTCGTAGCTGATGAAGCGTATTCATTGAAAAATTATTTGTTAAGACCCTTTCCACGTAGCACACTGAACGTGCAAAGAAGACTATTTAACAGAAGATTATCTACAGCGCGGCAAACAATTGAATGTGCCTACGGTATTCTAAGCACGAAATGGAGGATATTACAAAAATCTATTGAAACCAGTCGAGAGAACGCTTGCTTGATTATTAAAACAACTTGTTTATTACATAATATTATACTAGACTTAGATGGTGACGCTGATCCAGATTGTCATTCCTGGGCTACAGTCGAACTCAACCATAATAACATGCAAAATGTAATGCGTTACTCGGATAGAAATCCTACAAGACAAGCAAAAATAATTCGTGACAAGTTTATGAATTACTTTTATGAACATACCTATTAATTTTTCAGTTTAAACATATTTAATGTTGATAGGTAGATTAATTTGTTGTTTGTTAGTACCTACCTACACATTAAACTAGCACGTACATATCTACCTACTCTAAAGTTATAGGTAGTTATAATCTGTAATTTTAACAATTATATGAAAATAAACTAACCGTTACTTCCAGGAAACAATTGTTTTATTTCTTCCCATAATTTATTTATGACCTTCCTATTTAAATGTTGCAGATGTTTGCTCTGCCAAATAGCAGTGCGATGTTGTACCGCAGATATAAATTCTTCAGTATTGATATCCATGATTGACGACGCTTCGGCGGGTGAATCAAAATGGTTTAGAACCACAAGCGTAGTCACCTAACAGACGCTAGTTCACTGTGAACGATACGAGCGGACTGAACCATTAGAAACACCCGCGCCGCCCGCGCCTGCGCCCGCCTCATGCCGATGCGCGGCGCGCGGGAGCACTCTGAATGCAACTGGCGTCTACATACATTTGATTTACACGCGCCCGCGCTAGCACCCGCGCCCGCCTCCACTCTGAAAGAGTACTAAGAGGTGGCCTACGCATTTGCAATTTCCTTTATGTTGTTTACTAGTGATGGTAGTTACCTACCATTGGGTGATCTGCAATTAAATTGAAAAACCTTGAACAAAACTAAATTGAACCCATCCGTAGGAAACTTTAACGACATTTAGCTTTTAGTTTTAGTGTGGTAGTGTTGTTATGTACATCCCAGACGTTAAGTTTTATTCATAGTCCTAAATCTTTATATAATTTTTTGTAAAGATGAGAACACAGTCCTGATGGTACATAAGTGAACAGCTGGAACTCATAGACACCTCCATCTATACACGAATATGGCTGCGGTCTTATGAGGTCGCTAGGGGTTTGAGAGGTTAAGAATCACAATGACTAAAATATATAATAGAATAAAATCATTTTCAAAGTGGTCAAAAATTTATCTTTAAACAGTAAAAGTCTAGTTCAAAGAACTAAAGGAATAAAATAATTTCCACACAATGGCTTCTGCAGTCGGTACCAAGACGGTGTTTTAATTCTTCTTTACTCTTTGTCTTGGCTTACTGCTTTTTGGCATTCCTTGAGAGAGGCCTATGTTGAGCAGTGGACTAGTGAAGGGCTGTAATGATAATGATGGTGATGAAGCTGAAACAGCAATCGGCTGGCCATATAGCTCGAAGAACCGACAACCGATGGATAAGGAAGGTTCTTGAGTGGTAACCACGTACCCGTAAGTGAAGTGTAGAACGGTCCCTCACTAGATGGAGTGACGACCTGGTAAGATATGCAGGAAGTTGGTGCATGCAGGTGGCTCAGGACCGTGCCTTGTTGCATTCCTTGGGGGATGACTCAGGAGTGGAGTGATGATGATTGAGTGGACTAATGAATATTACAAGCTCAAGGTAACAACAAGTAGAATGTGGTCTAAATAGTTACATTGAAAACTTAATCCCTTATATCTCACATTATTTGGAGTAAATTTCTGGTGTCGGTTTCAGTATCTGACCCCAGATATATTGCTCAAGGTTAAAAAACATACATCTGACTGCTGATAGAGTAGGGATTTCAAATTTTGAGCCCCCATTATGTTAAGGATATATGTATGCTGGAGAGTGTACAAAGAAAAGTCACAAAAATTTATTTATTTAAAAAGACAACCAACAAGACGAACACTAATACATGGAATTTAAAGTAACATGAATATCAAACTAAAGCTAATGTCATTTTAATTATAGGCTGCCACGGCATGCAAATATGGACCAATGTCAATAAAACTTAAATAGGTTAGTTAATACTATGCAAATGAAAACTTAAGCATTAACAAATATTGAATCGCTGAAATCTCGCCGTATCAGCGGAGAACTTATTGATACCTACAAAATAGTGACACAAAAATATTATTGCAAAGAGCTGTCATCTATTTAACATCAGCAGTAGCAGTATCCACCGAGTTAGACATCCGCTCATACACTAATGTGGGTCTTCACACACTAAACAAAAGATTCACATACATATAGAACAAGGTGACTCAAGATGTGGTTGATGCTCCATCTGTGATTAGTTTTAAAAAAGCTGCACAAACGGTACAAATACAATCCAGATTAGCGTATTCTTTTTGGTAACTTCAACTATTATAAAAAACCAAAACATACAGGTATATCAGCTATAAGCTGCTCGCCTATTACGAAGTAAACACCTCTGAAATATAACCTACTGAATAAAAAAATAATCATGAAAATTTATACTAACAAGTCAATACGTTCTTTAATTTAAATTTCCCCGTGTGTTAGAATTCGCTCCAATAATATTCATAAAGAACATGTGTCTCCGCCCGGGTTTGCAGAATCTCGTGGAGTGTTTGCTTTATCTAATTGGAACGTGTTGTTTCCTCTGGTGATGAGGATTTTAACTCTACCTGACTAGATATACTTGTCAGCTTTGTGTTTGATTTTGTTACCACAAGTGTTTTATTTCTGTATACTCAAGTGTTATATATTTATACATGGTAGAGCCTGACTGCAACTATATTATGGTTGTAGCTCGAATGAGTTGGGTCTAACAGGGATGGTCCACGTTCTCGCAGCTCTTACTGAATACCAGCTAGAAATAGCGACCCAATGTTTCTGTGTTTTGTTTGATGAGCAACCAGAGAGGAGATCTAGACATCCTTTTTACCGGATACAAAACTCGTGAAGGGCGACAATACATCTGCATTTTGATAGAATATTGCATTTGTAATTACTTTTAAATCGACACAAAAGCTCTGTCATTCAAAATTTAAACAAAAGTCTCGACATAATTAATTCACTTATAAATATTCAGTGTATTATCTCAGTCCAAACAAAAAATAGACGAAGCGCTTCGTGAATACAAGTGACATCAAAATCAAGCCAAAACCATTTTCAACTTATTGTAAGTACGCGCACTCACGTACACATCATCATCATGATCATTATTATCATTAGCGGTAATCATAAGTTCACAAAGCACAGTCCTAAGCCACTTGTATCCATCGACTCCCTACTTCTCTTACCAGGTCGTCACTCCATCTAGTAGGCGGCCACCTTTAAGTTCGCTTACGGGTACAAAACCATGTTGCGGGTGGCACGTAATTTTATATGCAAATATGTAGAGCCATATAACTCGAAGAAATAACAACCGATGGGGAAAAAAGTTTCTCGAGTGGCAGCCTCGTACCTGGAAAGACATTCAGGAAGTCGATGGATACAGGTGTCTCAGGACTGTCCTTTGTGGTATTCCTTGGGGGAGGCCTATGTTCAGCAGTGGACTTGTGAAGGCCTGTAATGATAATGATCATCACGTACAAATACCCTAAATTAATTAAATGGTAACTTAATGTATTACGCATGCATCTATGTACCTAAAATAATATATATTTATTAGCCAAGTTCTTTATATTATAGATATAACTGATACATTATGATCTTTTAGACTGTGCTTTTATAGATATAATAAATAAAAAATATGACAGGAGAGATAATATCAAGATAAACGTTTATTTTTCAGTTTTTAAATGTAATTTTTTTTAACCCGTTTTGGTATTTTCGCTTTAATTCTGTAATTAAAACTAAATATGAATATATACATGGAACTAATGAATTCCTGTTATAGATTTTTATTTATACCATTTTTTTTATATTTGCCTAAATTAATTAAATGGTAACTTAATGTATTACGCATGCATCTATGTACCTAAAGTAACAAATGTTTTTAAAAATTAAATAGCAGCTCACCCTGACCTCTATACATTTCATAGTACGCAAGTAAATAGGAATCACAGCAGAGCTTTTGAAAGCGGGTTGAAAACCAGTACTTGCAGGCCTTCAGAAGCTGTTTGATTCCGTCCAACATGGTGGCACTACTCCGAAGGCGTGGAGCAGAAGCAACGCTCTGATGAAGAACTACAATGCCGTTTTCCCTTCGAAGCCACGTCTACGTGCTGTTTTTGAGAGTCATTACGAATCATCTCGCACGCAGATTCAATGACTTCTAGCCCCACGAGCAAGCTGGTTTCCGAAAAATCTTTAGTACCATAAACCACATACATACCCTTGGCCAAATTGTACACAAGACCTAAGGGTACAATCTGCCAATTTGACCTACATATGTGAACTATGTCAAAACCTTTGATTCCATCGAAATTTGGACGATGCTTCAGTCTCTTCAGCGGTGCCTAGTTGACTGTCGGTATATCGAAGTGCTGAAGTGTTTTTACAGTTGGGCTACCAGGTACGATGGCTATTCGAGCACAAAATCAGACAACGAAACCTATCCAACTGCAGAAAGGTGTAAGACAGGGTGACGTCATTTCTTCGAAACTCTACCGCTGTATTGGAAGATGTTTTTAAGCTACGGGACTGTAAAGGATACGGTATTAAAAAAAGAGTATTGCACTCACTTTCAATTTGCTGGCGATATAATCCTTATGGCAGAATCGCTGGGGGACCTAAGAACAAATAGTATAAGACCTCAATAGTGGTCCCCAACGGCCTATCCGTTCTTTTTATTCATTAAAATGAACGTGGAAAAGATTACGTGTAACGTCCTAAACCTATACGGGTAAGCTCGAAGTTATTGACGAGTATGTTTAACTGGGACAAATATTCCGTCTATATAAGTCAAACTCCGACCGACAGATCAATCGGCGAATTCAACATAACATAGGAAGACCTCGACTTCAAGAACAATAAAATATTATATAACAACTTTCCTTTGTTAATCTACTGGCGCATATCTAAACCTTTATTATAAATGATAATTCTGTTTACTAAAGGGGTAACGCCAGTGTTGATTTTATTCACCGAATACGCCGCAGGTGAACCGGGAATGCGTTTATTTATTCATCTGCTTGAGAATTAGGCGGTGCGGCGTCAAAGCTTTATTATATACCTTTTTATTTCTAGTTATTGAATTGAATAAGAATATAACTTTAATAACAGCTGATATATTTATAATAATATGTGTTTTATAACCTTTTTTTATTTCAATTACATGTAAAATTCATTTAAATAATGTCTTAATTTAAAACAGTCTAAAATAACAGGCACCATAACCAATAACAGGCACCATAAACCTGTATCTCAGGTGTATGTGCTAATAGGTACATTAACAAATATTTTCTGTTTCTTATATAAAATTAATAACATATCAACTATTTAGGGTTATTTAGGTAAATATATTATCATTAATTTACTTACGATATTAATTAGCTTAAAACAATCAGCAACTTTTTCGTATCGTCGTATGACATATTTTG